CAGTATAAAATTGTCCAGTTCCATCAACCTAACTGCAAATTTCCTGATTTCATTTATTTTTTAAGGAAAATAGATTTTCCATCGTGTGTATGTACATTTTTGTTATCTATTCATCAGTTGAAGGACATTTCAGTTGTTTCCGTTTCTGGCTATTGTGAATAGAGCAATAATGAAGAGAGTAGAGGAAGCATGTTATAACATTTTGAAATTGTTTTTTTTGTGTGTGTGTTTTACAGGAATTGTGGTGCCTCCTAAAGGAAATTTAGATATCCCAGTGTTATTTATACCTACTAGTATGACGCTATACAAAACAATGGTGATTGTTAAGGTGAAGAGAGCAAACAAAGAAAATTGGCTTGTTGACAATTTTGATGAACTAAATGCAGAAACTAAGAGGTAACGATTATAATACAGGAAGAAAATATTTTGTGGTTTGACTGAACTTGATATGATAGGTTTCCTTAGTTTGTGCTACATATTCAACATAAAGTTCAGTATTTCATGTGATCTGAGCTACTGCAACTCATATGTCCAGAAAAATAAAATATGTTTGTTGAAGTTGACAGTAGTGGGCAAAATTTGTGCAAAGGGAAAATAGTTACTGGCTGATGAAACAAGAAATAGTAACTTGCGGACAACCTGCATCTGCACTTTGTTTAAGAAAAATGAAGAACTTGTAAGGCTAGCACAAACTAAGTGATGAAACACTGCTCTAACCAGGGTGTATCATTTCTGTATCATTGCTAGAATTAAAGGTAACTTAGATTCTTTAGCTTAAAGTTAATCATGTTTCAATAATAGTACAAAACTTAAATGTTTCCTCTGTTCTTATACTCTAGACACCCTAATTAAAATAGAAATCTTAGTTTATTATATATTCATGTATTTCCCCTCCACATGTTTTTATTGTGACTCTTATATCCATTCTGTCAGGCATTTCACCATACCTAGAGTCACAGTTATTGTAAACACACACATATTTAGTCTCCCAGTGGAAAACTACAGAGAAATGAATCTTGTTTAAAAAGATAGTTAGACTTGTAGGATAGTTGTGGTTAAAAGCACAGAGCCCTTTTTGAATGTGGTGTCCTAGGAGGCAGTTATACAAGTCACATTCACAACTGGTCTTCTGTTCAGTGTTTAATATTTTATTTTGCAAGAAAATTCCTTCTTCAGGAATGGTAAGCCAATTTTTCTAAATTTTTCCCCAGTAGTAGATGTGATTATGCTCGTTTTAATTGAGAGCTTAAAATAAAAGTTTCCATCTCTTTCTGAAGTCCAGGAATTAATAGGATTTTTGATTTTGTGATTTTTTGCTACATAATTTAGAATATTACCCATATAAACTGTTTTACCCTCAGTCAACATTTAGTGACATCAATAAATACAAATGTACTTTTGAAAGGTAAATAACCAAAGCTCCTGCATTTTAACATACATCTCATGATGATTTACTTTGGAATAATTGTCTAAGACTTCTTTGCACATGTTTGTAGCATCAACAGTTTAAGAAAATGTTTTCTGTTCTGCAAATATGTCTTCCCAAATATAATTGCAAAAGGCTTACTAAAATAACTTCAGATTAATAAAGAATACAGAGTTTTCTTTTGTATTAGTTATTTTTTGAGATTATAATATACTTTTATCATTTCCCTTTTCTCACTCCAAACCCTCTTGTGTATCCAACCTTGTTCTCCTTCATATATTTGTGACCTCTTTTTTCATTAATGTCTGTTACATACATATGTATGTATATATATATATATACATATATATATATATATATATATGGAGTAATGATATATATATAAAGCATACTAAAATAAAAGCACAATATATATATGTACATATATATATATATGTAATTATTACTTCCTAAGTCTATATTGACTGTGTTTCTATTTTGGGTTAATTATCCATATTTTAATTTCTAAACAGATTTATGGGAGTAGACCATGGGCAAATTCAAGCAATACACTGGATGTACCCTATCATTGGACTTCCACAGGCCCCACCACCTAAAAGTAATCCAGGTATGTATATATTACTCAGAAGAGAAAAAGCACAGAATTCCAAGAGATCTTATTTATTCTGTAATTCCATATCTTCTTTATGCAGCTACAGGCCCTAATTGTGAGAATGCTGCAGCATTACTTTCTTTCTCACCAGTATGTCTGGTAAATTATGTGTCTTTTTCAAAGGCTTCAAATGCGACTCTTTCATTCTCCATACCAATTATTATAAATGAAAGATTTAGACTTCTGATTTGAGAATATAGCTCAGTGCTAGAGTGCTTTGCTTCTTTAGCATGTGAAAGGATCTGTTTTCCATTTCCAGTGACAAAACAAAACAAATAAAATAATAGAGAAGTTACAAATGATTAGACTATACTGAACTTAGATTATATCATCGCACATTGACAGAGGAAGAAGTGGTAAATTTTGCTTGTACCAGAACACTTTCCTAAATATGCTAATGCTGGTTATAAAAAAGACCAAGATTAAATCCTTCCCACTTTCAACTAGATTAAAAAATCCACATATGTAGAAGTACCTTTGGCATTTACAGCTGAATATAACTTGTTGTTTTGTTCTTATGTTTATCAATACCTACATAAGTCATTTGAAATTAAATTATTTTCAAAATACTTCAGAGACATGATAAAATGTCTGTCATGTTAATTATATTTTTCCATAGCGTTATACTTTTTAAAATGCATAATACACTATTAAAAAGTAGATGTTAAACTGTTGACACTCTGATAATGCTGCTGCATAGTTCTATCTACTATAGACAGTTTTGTTTGTCCATGAATAAACATGATTTGCAGATGTATTGTTTAATTAAAAGCCTGTGAGTACATTCTCATGTATTTCCTTCAAAGAAAATCAAATATACTCCAAGAGTTTTCCTATTACTGAGGATCTTTTGGTAATTACTTGGCGTTTTAAAATTATTTATGAATTTTGTAACTAGTATATGTCAGATTAAGACAAGATAGTAATAATGTAAATGCTTGAAAGTAAATGAATTATTTGGTATTAAGTTGTTGTAGCACAACTCTGGTACTTAAATTTTGTAGGAATACTTCTGAGAAGCAAGTAAGAAGAATGTTATGCACATATATTATCGTGTTTTAGACAGTCTGCTTTACATGATTTTCATAAGAACATACCAGAGATAAGCCACTGTTTTCCATTAACCTACACCAATGTCCAAGCCTGTTACTACTTTTTGTGAACCATTCAGATTATTTGCAAATGCAGGAGAATTTTGTTATTCCACGCTACCAATTCACTTTTTGACTTATCTACTTATTGTCCACTGGGGCAGATAATTAGAAAATATTTCAGAAACAAGTTATGCTATCATACAGTAAGAAATTAATCCATTGTGATGGATGGAGCGTTAATTTATTAAAGACTTACTAGTGAAGACCAGTGGCATGACAGCAATTATAAATTGATTCCATTATCTTCAAACTTAATACCTTAAGGTTGAACTTAATTATAACCAGAAAAATTTGTACATTTTACCAAACTGTGTCACTCCTTTAGTGTAGCTCTGATTTTGTACATTTTTATTTATATACCATTTATAATATTTAAATACTATTTATAAGTATATAATTATAAAAGATAAAATTAATTTTGTAATACCAATACAATATAATGAATATTGTGAAGAATTTCAGAGAATATCAGTTAATTTTTATGTCATAAGACCATATTACTGTTGAGTCTAAAAAATATAGCATGATGTTCTTCAAACATTTTCAAATATAGGTTTCAGTTTTTTACTTATACTTAGTATATGATTTGTGTATAGTCGAAGTACAATAATACTTTTGGGGGAAAATATTTGTGTATATGTAAATTCCTATATACATTGCTCCATAGTATTATAGAGCTCCTATCATATATCAGTTGTTCCTTATATAATTAGTAATTATATATACAAAAATTTTATTCTAATAATATTGACAATGTCTACACTTGATAGGCATAAATGTTAGTATGTAATACATAATATAGAGAGATCATGAATGCTATGAATTAACATTAATATATCACATTTAAAATTAATGTTGACTCATTGTAGTTTTATGTGTAACTACTAACATGATAGATTTTATAGATTTAAAATCTTAAAATTTTCATATGAATTTTAAAGTATATGTGAAAAGCCAAGTAGAAGTACTTTAAATTTTATTACAAACCAAGGGCTATTGAACTTATATTTTAATGTTATCATAAAAGTAGATCTTAGCGTACCCCAAAAAATACACAGTAGTTCATGTGTGGAGAGTTGCCAGTTTGAATTAACGATATGAGCATATCGGTTCCAGAATTCCAGAAACAAATTTCTACATCCTAATATAGTCGCTAATCATAAATATATATATTTGACTTTTGGATACTGTAGTAGATTGAATGTAATGGGCCCCAATAAGCTCATAGGGATTGGCACTGCTATAGGAGTTGTGGCTTTGTTGAAGTAGGGGTGACCTTGTTGGAGGAAGTGTGTCGCTGTGAGGATGGGTTTTGAGGTCCCTTATGCTCAAGCTATGATCAGTGTAGACACAGTTCACTTCTTTTTGCCTGTGGATCAAAATTTAGAACTCTTAGCACCATCACCAGCTCTATATCTGTCTGAACACTTCCATGCTTCCTGCCATGGTGATAATGGAGTAAACCTCTAGAAATATGAGCTAGCCCCAATTAAATATTTTCCTTAGTAAGAGTTGCCATTGTCATGGTGTCTCTGCACAGAAATAGAAACCCTAACTAAGACAGATACTACTTTTATGTATTAATGTTGATGTTTATATATGATGTCTAAATATAAAGGTATATTACGTGTGTGTGCCATATGCATTGCAAATTTAAATTATGCTCAATATAGTTTTATTTTCATGAAAGCTTATTTTATCTCAATAATAATAATGTTACCTAACAGTTGAAATAACTAAAACAATTTCTCCTACAGTTGTCATAAAATGTCAGGCCAACAAGCGGGTAGAAGAGAAAGTGGAAGTGACAATGATTGGTAGCTTTTTTGGCCCACATCCATCGCATGATGCAGTAGAATTTGTAGTGTTTCCAAAAAGAAATTCTATTAACAGTATTTATGAAGAAGTTGATGGTAAGAGAATTTTAATCATGGCTATAAGTTAAACTATAGTAAATAAAATTGATTTAGTTTAAAGTGTAGGTTGCTGGTTGCTTAGTAATTAAGATCCAATTACTTTTCAATTATAATATAACATTCAAGTTCCCAAGAACTCTGTTAAACTTGTTCTTTACATAGCAGTTAGATCAGTAGTAATAGTAGATATGGTCACTACATGGATTTATGTGACCAAAATGGTAAATCTCTCAATTTTAGTATTTCCACTTGGAATTAACTACTACATCTTACTCTGTGTTCCTGATTTTGTGTGTGTCATTTTGAACAGTTAACCCAAGGTTTCATACATGTTATGCAAGGTCACTGCTACCGAGCTAAACATGGAGTTCCTTGTAGACGTAAGAATTGTTACTGAAGCCATATTACATTTATAAACAAATTTGAATCAATGTTTCTTACTTTAAAAGATCAGAAAAATTGATGTGAATCAAATGTAATACCTTAATGATTTCCTAAGTGACAAATTTTCTTGTATACATTTCTTTTGTATTTCCTATTTTCTATCCAAATTAAAATAATTATGCGTGCTATGAATAGTGCATTCTAGATTTCAAAACCCAAACACTGAAACCAAAATGATTCCATACCTGACCTCATATAGCAAGTTGTATTCACAGCAAAATATATAATCAGCAGGGATAAAATGTGGGCTATAAAAGCTAGAAAATATTTGTAAACTATATATCTGAAAAGGGATTAATCTCTAAAACATATAAGGAATGCCTACAACTATGAAAATGCCTAATAACCTAATTGGAAACATAGGCTATAGAACTTGAATAAACTTTTCTCCAGAGAAAATACAGAAGTAGTTAATAACTATATGAAAATGTATTCACTTCTACTTATTATGAAGAAATGCTTCTCAAACACCCCCCAAAAATGTCATTGCTTCACACTTATCTACATGGACATTATTTTAAGAAGTTGAGAAGAATAAGGAAATTTTCAACCTTCAATACTCTTTTTTATTGTCTGTTTTTCCTCCATTTTTTATTTAAATTAGAAACAAGATTGTTTTACATGTCAATCCCAGTTCCCTCTCCCTCCCCTCCTCCCCTGCCCCCCACTAATACCCTTCTTATCCCATACCATCTCTGCTCCCCAGGGAGAGTGAGGTCTTCCATGGGGATTCTTCGGAGTCTGTCATATCCTTTGGGATAGGGCCTAGGCCCTCCCCCATGTGTCTAGGCTCAGGGAGTATCCCTCTGTGCGGAATGGGCTCCCAAATCCATTACTATGCTAGGGATAAGTACTGATCTACTACAGTGGGACATAAAGGAGCAGGAAGGTTGTGTATGGGGGAGAATAGAGGAGAGCAAAATAAAAGATACCATCAGAGAAGGAGCCAGTATAGGTTTACAGAGAAATCAGGCACTAGGGAAATGTCCTTCCATACACTTAATAGGAAAGCAAAATAATACAGCCCTTCTGAAAATTATCATGGATATGCCTTATAAAATTTGAAACAGGACTGTACAAAAATGGCCTGCTCTCTGCTCATTTTTGTTCAAATCAGATTCATTAGTCAGATATATTGTTTGTTTTCCCAAGGCAAATCCTGATTGCAGAAGCCCATTGAAACTGGATGTAATTTTGTTCTAATATTTTAAATACACATCTTTAAATTGCTTTTTATCTTTATCATTAAACTGTAATTCAACTTGTCTGCCAGAAATTATGCTCAACCTCTGTGAGTAACAAGACATAGGTTCCAGGATCAAGTGATTAAAAATATTTCTAATATTGGATTTATATACTTACTACTTGAGTAATCTCAAATACTTAATTTTTCTATCACATATTAATATATAAAATATTAGTTCTCATTATGGAATTTCCATATATGCATAAATTATACACAGTGATGTTTAACTCACCTATGTTATTTAGGCATTTGTCATTACTCACCAGAATGATATCTTATCAGGTACACAGAATAGTTTACCATATTTTTCAATGGCACTTTAATAGGTTATAGTTCACTCTTAGTGGTTAGGATATAGTCTATAATTGTGTCTCTTAGTTCATTCATTGTGCTTCATTGGAAGTTCAATGGCTTTTTAATTGGGGCCCTTTATCTGAGAATGGTTTTACTGCATAACTAACTGTACATTACACTCATATATTTTTTTTCAAAAGACATAAAATTTCATATAGATGAGAGTTTGACCCTCATGGGTTTATGTGCACCATGAGCATGTCCAGTGCCCTGAAGAGTACAAAAATAGACGTCATATTCACTGGACCTGGAGTTACTGGTGGTTGCGATCTGCAGTATGATGCAGGGAAACACACCTTCATCCTCTGCAAGAACTGTCATCTTTATTAACTGCTGAGCCCCCAGTGTATCTTTCTTAGTTGTTCACAATTTAAAGACTGTTGTTTTTCAATTAATATGTTGTCTTTTGAGACTTGTTTGTTGGCTTACATGTCATATTTACCTGACGCTACATCAGTCATCTTGTGTGTCTTTTTGTATGCTATGTAAAAACTCCCAAGTTAGATTTAGCTTCAAATCTGAAAACTCTCCTAAATTAATTGTCATTGATCTTTCCATGACCCTAAATTAGCCTCAGCCTTTCATCCTTTGCCCTTCTCCTCTTCATTTCATTTCAAGCCTCCTGTTCCACCCACTCTAATAGTATTGGCCTTGGAAAGATTGTTGTCTGTCCCTTCCAGTCCTAAAACAATGGTTGTGTTTGTATGGCCTGGTTGTCAGCAGCACTTAAGAGTGGAGCAGGTTGGAAGAATTTCCACTTTTGATTTGTACTGCCTAACCTAATTATTAACTTAATTTACTGGCTGTATTTTCTACATCCTTAATATTTTTTCTTCCACCTCTGGCAAGAGCATAATTATACGAATGTATGAGATTCTACTCTGCAGGCACTACATTCCTATGTACAGCTCATACCCTATATACTTAAAACATCCATGCATTTTTAGTTCTTTGGCATTTGTGCCACAAGGTGAGCCTGCCACTCTTCTCTACATTATGAAAACTAGTCAGAGAGCTTTGGTTTTCTCATTTTGTTAAACAATGTCCTATTGTTGTGAAGAGACACCCTGACCAAGTCAATTCTTATTTTTAAAAAATGAATTTAATTTGGGCTTGGTTAGAGGTTCAGAGGTTTAATCTATTATCATGATGGCTGGGAGCATGGTGGCACACACACAGACATGGTACTAGAAAAGTAGCTGAGAATCTTACATCTGGATATGTAGGCAGAAAGAAGAGCAGACTCTGGACTTGGAATGTCCTTTTTGAAACCTCAGATCTAATCCCGAGTGATACATTTCCTCCAACAAAACCAAACCTCCTAATCCTTTCAAGTAGTGCCACTCTCTGGTGAACAAGCATTCAAATCTATGAGCCTATTGGAACCATTCTGATTCAAACTATCAGACCTATATACGAGGGCCTCAGTAATGTATCTTACCTCACTTTAAACTTAGTTTTCTTAGATGGAATGTGGAGATAATGGTACTAATTTTTTTCTGATAAATTTGAGGATTAAATGTGAAAATGCATGTGGGATTCCCAGAAAGTACCTTGTTTCTATGTACCTCTTGTCAATATGTTACTTCTGGAATTAAGATTCCTTTCATATTTAATGAAAAATACTATTAGTTTCTTTTGATAGCATCCTAAATTTAAAATATCACTTTAAACTTAGTATCTAAAATATATCAAGATAAAAACTACCATGAAAACATACAAAAAATTGAAAATCCTCTTATAATCATTTGGCATGCTGTTTCAGTTTTGTATAACTTAATTAAAATTTATATCTGCATACATTTCTCAGATATTACACATGTAAAAATATTTCTTTTTCATAATTATTGTTGACTGCCAACTTTTGTTTAGTTTTCTTTTTAATGTTGTTTTTATTTTTGTTTTTTGAGACAGGGTTTCTCTGTAGCTTTGGAGCCTATCCTGGCACTCGCTCTGGAGACCGGGCTCGCCTTGAACTCACAGAGATCCCCCTGCCTCTGCCTCCTGAGTGCTGGGATTAAAGGCGTGCCCCACCAACACCTGGCTTTGTTTAGCTTTCTTATTCGATTAGCCTAAATTGTAAAGAATTAAAGATGTTGAGATTGTATTTTATATTTGTATCTATATTCATGTATTTCAACAAAATTACTCATAGCATTATATACCTGGTATTACAATGAACATTATGAAATAAAGCTAGATACATTTTTTCACTTCTTCTAAAAACATGTTTAGGAATAAATTAACACATAAACTAATGTTCAGTTTATGTATAATGAGCTAAACTGACATACATTTTTGATAAGGGAGGTCCTTCTGTGTATGTTTGTCTTATTGGTTGATAAAGTACTGTTGGCCAATAGGAAACAAGATATGTGGGACTAGTCGTCAAGGAGGATTCTAGGAAATGTAGTAAAGAGATCCCAGCAGGAAGTGACATAGCAGGCAGACTCAGAATATAAGCTGGGACAAGAAGGAAATCATCCTCTTGCTCTTCCTCTTCCTCCTCCTCTCTATGCAGCAGCCATGTGATCCCAGGAAGACAGGAAGCATTCTGCCGGTTTCCTTCATAAGATAAGTCTTATAAATATATAGATTAATGATTATGGTTGATACTCAAGACAGAGCAAGCCTATAAGAAATCCTAGTTATTGACCCACAGCATTGTACCTAATATTAAGTTCCTGTGTGTTATTTTGGGGGTCCTAACATTGCGGCAGAACTCAGTTGGGTTGCATAAAGTTTTATCATTACACATTTTCATTTTCATTTTCCTAGTAACTCCTAGAAGACGTGAATTTGAGTATGAGATAGAATTTGAAACTGAAGATTTGAAGACTAGCCTGGACTCCTCTGTAACATTATATTTGTACAGAAAACATTGTAACATAAAACAAGAATTAATTTCATTGATTTTCAATTTGATATTTACACCAAGAAAACCATTCCGGTAATCATAATTCTCACTCTTTTAAATATATTGTTATGCTTTTAATTCATTGTGTTTTTTCTGCCTGTTAATGTTTGAATTACATTATTTCTGTAATACTATGAAAAAATATTTTTAGCTATGTCATTTCAAGCTAATAAGATATGAAAAGGATTCTAATGAAAAAATATACAGTTCATTGGACCCATTTGCCAGAATGTACCTATTACTTTCTAAGTAAACTGATAGTGCAATAATTACTGTATTTTCAGAACTAACTACAGAGTAGAAAAGATGACACACAAATTATTATCTCAAATGGCACCTTGATACTTTAGATTATTAACTAACTACAAAATTATTCCTAAAATAGAAATAACAGTCTAGATTTTTAAATATGTAATGTCCCCTCCCCCCTTTCTTGCTGACCTCAAGAGATACTTTCATTTTTACTTAGATAATTAAATTAATATTTTTTATCTCTTTCCTTGTCTTCCTGGTTTTCTTTAATCTCGTGTGTGTGTTTGTGTCTGTCTGTCTGTCTGTTCTAGGGCTCATATCACATTGAAAGTTGAGTGCATAACAGATGGAATCTGGAAATTTCCTATAACATTGATTGCTACTGAGCCTGAAGTGGAGGATATAATTGACATCCAAGGAATCGGTTTATTAAAGACATCTGTCACGGAATTTAGACTGACAAGTCAGACAAGGTATTATATGTCAAGAAGATTCATGTAACTGGTCTGATGAATATAGTTAATGCTGAAATGTAGAATGAAATATAAGATAGAAAATATATGAAGATTTCTCTAGTCTTTTGAATGATTTTTGTTTGATTCTTTTGAAATCAGAAAAAAATATTCTCCATAAATTTAAATATTCATGCTGTTTTGGTAACCTAAGTCTGAAATATCCATGTATAAAATATAAATCAACAAATAGAATAAGCCAAAGTTATACAAGTATTTATTAGAGCCCATTGGTTGATGATAGTACTTATACTTTTTGCTTCTCTTGCTTTCTATTTAGTGCACCTACTTCACAGGCATTGTATCACTAAGCTATTGCCAAGTCCAGTTCTATCAACTGATAAAAGAGAAGTCTTGACTTTACTGGATATAATTGTAAATTTGTTCCTGTAATAGTAGCATTTCATTTTTCTCTAGTCTCTTTCAAGGAGTTTAATTCCTTTAGCTTTCAGACAACTGATTGTGATGTGTTGTGCCATGTAATGTTTGTTATAAGTGTTGTCACTGTTAGACCAAAGTCCATGAGGACAGGCACTCAGAATCTCTCATTGATTGTCAGGTATATAAAGGATGTTTACTAAATATACTCTGTAAGAAGAAACATCCCTAAGTACTTTGGTTTCAATGATAAGTCAAAAGTGAATCAGCTATACACATGGTGAATACTAAATAAGAATTTACCTTGAAGAACCCTGGGAGACAAAGAAGAAACTGGATCTATTTATTAAATTTCTAAAGAATACTAGCCTATATTATTGCTTGCCATTTTTATTCAGGAATTTCATAAAACTCTTTAAATTACTATGTTATTTATTGTATAAATGAATACAAGATTCAGAAACAATTTCACCTTACATTTTTTGCCCCCCATGGGACACTGCTAACATTGTTATTTTTAAATTCTGCTCATTTGGGGATGGAGTCTTACTATATAGTCCTGGCTGGCCTATAATTTATTATGTGATGACTATGCAAGCCTTGAACTTCAGTCATCTGCCTGTCTAGATTCTTGATTGCTGAAATTATGGATATGCAGTATTATGCAAGACCCCCTTTTTGTTTTAAAGTTACCATGTAAAGTAATGGCATTCATTATGGAATTTTCATGTTTATGTGTCATTCTACTTTGTTTTTACCTTCCTTCTCCAATACTTCAAAACTCTTTACACGATCAGTAATATGATTTTCTAAATGATGTAGTGATGTATATGCTTATTCATAGTACTAAAAACTATTACAGGAATATGTATTGAATCTGACTCATTATGAACTATTCAGCAGTTTAACTATACCCAGTAAAACATAGTTATAGTCATGATTAGAGACATACCAGTCTGTTTAACATTCCTACATTGATCAGCTTTAATATAGATCCTCTACCATCAGGTCTAAAAACTGGGATTGTATTTCTGTGGTAGGTAGTTTGTGTTATTAGCATACATGTTTACTGAGAAAACTGTGTCATGGGCCAGAAAACAATATTTCTTCATATTCCTCTGTGATTAAATGACCTGTGTAGCACATGGGATTTCTTTATCATCTTTTGCAGGAGAGGTGTTTTATATGATTTACATTACAAGTTCCATGTATGAGTACCGTGAGCTAAATCATTTGAATAGAAAATATCCCAAATTCCTTCATTAGTTCACTTATGATTGCTGTTGACAGATGTAATTAAATAATATGATCATCAGTTAAGAAACAATCAAAAGAAACTTCAAAAACTTGTGTATGACACAAAAGAAAATTCTGGATGAATATCTGATCATGATTATTTTATTTTCATTAGCCAACTTTGTCTGAGTTTAATTAGAAACTCTTTTCACTTAATTAATTGGAGATAGAACCAAGAACAGTGTTTACTTGCACAGAGAGCAATAGTATATTATCCTCTACTCAATATCTAGTATAAGTCAATTGCATTTTTATTTCTTCTCACATTCTTTTGAGAAAAATACTAATTTTACTCAATTCTAACTATACTTTTTTAGTATTTTACATATATGTATACTTAACTTACTTTCCTATGACAAAAGGCCAAGACTTCATGTATAGTTTTTCTTCTGAAAGAAATGAGTTCAATTCTCACTGTCTTGTTTCCCCAACTGTTTTTAATTTTAATGACACTACAGTATCACTGTATCTGATTTACCTAAATACCCATGTACCCATACACACACACACACATAAATATTCAATAATTTTACTGAATTTTAACTTACCAGATCTGGCAGTGCTCAAATTTTGGTGTGGGACAGTGATGGTTCGACCTTTAATCCTAGCACTAGGAGACAGAGGCAGGCAGACCTCTGTGAGTTAGAGGCCAGCCAGGGCTACAGAGCTAGTTCCAGGATAGATAGGGCTATTACACAGAGATACCCTGTGTTGGGGGTAAAAGAGAAATAAAGAAAAGAAAATGAGATTTGGAAGGAAAGAAATCCAGTGGCAGTAATACTTCTTGACAGGAATTTGAGAAGCCATACATGTAGCTGGGGTACTGTAGTGCAAGACTCCTCACTATTGTCACTCACTCTATGTCATTTTCCTGCTTCCCTAAATCCCAGTATTGATTCTCACATCACCACAATGTCTTTCCCTACTCTTTGTTGTTATAATTAGGAAATATGTAGTAGGCTGGGAATAGTGGCACATACCTTTAGTCCCAACAAACTCGGGAGACAGAGTAAAATCATCTCTAATTTGAGGCCAGCCTGGTCTACAGAATGAGTTCCAGGATAGACAGGGATACACAGAGGAACCACATCTCAAAAAAATGCATGCATACATACATACATACATACATACATACATACATACATACACCACATCTCAAACAAGCAAAATATTCATACATACTAGATAGATAAATAGGTAGGTAAGTAGGTGGGTGGGTGCGTTGGTGAACGGATGGACAGACGAACGGACAGACAGATGGACAGATTGAGGGATAGAGGTTAGATAAATAATAAAAAAATACCTTGTAGTAACTCTCCATCAGTATCTAGTCTGCTATTCTTTCATGTAGCACGCTTGCATGGTTCCCGATGACTCCAGATAAATACTCAGTGCCACCACTGTTAAACACTGTGTGTATTTTTCTCAATCCAGAAATTAATTTTTGCTTCTTATCTCCCTGTGACTATCTGGAACCACTATCCTAAAGAGCAACCTGAAAGCATCACATTTCTTGGATTTGGTTCTCTATTACTGGCCACTTTTTACTGGCTCCTTCTCATACCTATCCTTTAAATGTTTCACAGAACCTGATTGTTTTTTATTCTTTTGTTCACCCTCCTTTTCTAAATTTTCCCAAATCTGCTGAATTTATAATCTATAACTTGCAGAATCCAAAATATATTTAAATTCCTGACCTTTTCCCTAAACGTCAAACATCCACATCCAATTTTCTGTTGCATAAATAGTTCAACAGAACATTAATAATTAACCTGAAGTTACAAAATAAATCATTTCTCCCCAAAGGAGACTTCTCATTTAAGTGAATGGTAATTCCAGCTTTACACATCCCTCAGAGAACATTGAAACAAATTTGTGTTCCTCTGTTTCTGACTCTTGTCATTTATGAACCATTAGAAAAATTGGCCATATAATCTATGAAATACAAGCAAAACCCAGTTATTTGATTTTACCATTGCTGCTAGTGCCACCACTGATATTTTTGCCTTGATTATTACAGAGCCTTGCTATTCTTCATCCACTCCCACCCCGTTTCAGTTCTTTGCAGTATAGCCAGAATGATCCTTTGAAAGTATGTTCCCATCATTTGCCTGGCCAATCAAATTCATAGATTGCTTTCCTCTGTCTATATCTTTTTATGATACATAGCATGGATTTATGACTGGTGCTGTCTTATGAAACTTTGATGCTTATGCTTTCAGCTTTCTATATACCTGACTTTTGAGTAGATTGTACCATTAGCTGTACTTCCCATGATTCCATCGTTCCATCGTTCCATGGTTACATTTACTTCCAGGAATATGTAACAATCACAAGAAATCAGAAAAAAATTTCTGGAACAGACTCTGCCCTTGGTATTCTAAATGGGATCCTCTAAAGTCCTTGGATTTCTAAGTTCACCAACCCAACTATATAGTATATCACATACCTTAAAGAAGTTGCTGGTGTGAGAAAAATCAAAATCTAATAAAGGCCACAGTAAGTGAATAAATGTATATTTTTGAAGCTGTTAAAAACATTTTAAACTACTATACTATCTTTAAATTATCTTTTAACTCTTGTCATGTTAAAGATAAATTTGGATTCAAATAAAATCTAAATAACTGCAGTGATTCCTTAAAGCCTGTACATTTCTCTTAAAGCCTGTACATTTCCTGAACTACAAATAAAATGATTGTTCACTTTTTGTTGATACCTTTTTTGTTCACTGAATGGGTAATTTTTACACAGATCAGAGTAGCCACTAACATAATTTCACCAGACTTTTCATTTTTTCCCTCATAGATCCTGTGGAGGTTCATTTACATCATAAGTAAATTGGCACTATTGCTTCAACTTCTAAGCCAACTTTCTTCTAAAGTATATCAGTTTTTACTATATGATGGCTTCCATTCATACTGTCCTTCATCATCATAGCTGGCATCTTTTGTAAAAGTCTAGTCTTCAAAATTCAAACATTCTATTTTGTGAATATGCAACAACCAAGATAAAAATGTTTCTCTGGAGGATCTGCAAGAATGGACCAAAGAGAGTGACTTAAAATTTTACTAGCACCACCCTTAGTTTATGTAATTGAAGCTCAAATCTGTGAAATTACAACTACTGTATTAGTTCTCAAAACTACTTGAGACTATATAAGCCACACACACACATGTCAGTACAAATACCATATAAAGAGATTTACCTATCTACATCATCATATTATTAGTCAGGTCTGAGCATCATAGTGACAGATATTTAATATCAGCTAATACACAGTGGGTATC